GCTCGATAAGGCGCTAAGATGAGCGACACAATCACCCTATGCACAAGAATTCTTCTAACCACTCAAGATCTTCATGGCAAAAAGATAGACCATGGAGGGTCCGGCGGAGTCAGAGGCACTCGAGGAAGCAGATGGAAGAGAAACATAGCTGAATTGTTGAATTGCTCTCGCCAGAGTCGAGTAGACACTTTATAGTCGACCTGGAAAGATGGATCCAAACGCCCGTGAAGCAATAATGCTCTCGTAAAAGTCTTGAAACATGGGCTCATAAGCTGGCACAGACATTGACAAATAGTAGACCCCATATCAAGATTCTCTACCTATGGCTGCAGACCTATCGGGGGTACAGACGTGATAATTTTGGAATAAAATCACTTTTATCCCAAAATTGGGGGCATGTGTTTACGTCAAAATTTAGAAGAAGAATTGTAGGAACTCGAAAGCTCCCAAGATCATGTCATCAAGGAATCGATTGCATAAAGGTTGGTATCAGCTGATTTGAACGCAGCACTGGAATCGGCTCTCTTCAGATGGCACCAGCAGATAACGATAAAAGCTACAATTGGCGCTAGAAAAAAACATGTTGGACTCTAAAAAAGAGAAAGATTAGGGTTCAAGTTATCTTAAATTAGGAATATTTTCTCTTAGGCCAAAAATTATAATGAGTCATGCTTAAGTAGGAGTCAAGCGTAGGCTCCGGGTATAAATATTAGACCCTGGCTATTGTAAAGGACACGATCAATCAAATACAAGTCATTTATTTTTTTTGGCTCCGGCCAACCCTTAAGAGTAGGAGTAGAGTAGATCTCGGTGAGTTCTTCAGCGAGCAGGGCTACATCGGTCCGGCCGACCTCGGGCTTGTCTGTAAGTACCATCATGGTTTATACTTCTGTTCGTACAGCTGCATCGATCCGGTCGACCTCCACTGTGACTCTGGTATAAGCTAGTTATCGACTCTTGTCTAGTTTAAGTACGGCTGCATTAATCCGGTCGACCTCCACTCCTTGAATTATATTAAGGTTAAGTTATCAGCTCTATCTAAGGATGGCGTCCTTCGGGTAGATTCATTAAGTTACCGATATTACCTATTGCTTTCATTATTTATTTAATTACAACAATATCACTTCGCCCGATTGGGATTGATTTAGATCGGCTTTATATCCTATTTAACCAATCATTTATTAATCTAAACTGATCTAATCTGCACCTTAAATGATGAGTTATATTTTATCGGCTGTTTTATATCAATCCTGATCGTGTATAGTGTGCGGTTAAGGCATGCCGGGTCTTGAATAGATCTATCGGCTAACGAAAACAATTCCATGGCCTGTGTGATTCTGCCTCACACCCTACGTTAACACCGTGGAGCGGGGACCGTTATTTGGTAGATCTGTTCTTGATAGGGCATGACCTTAACTGTGCGCTATGCCTGAATCGGCTGTTTTAGCCGATATCGAGTGCTTTCACATATACAGTTCACGGCATGAGACCATCGAAGTAAAGGTAGGTTGAAAGATATGTTAGCCCCATGATCTTATTATCGTATTACGGCCTGCATAATTCTGCCTCATGTCCCACTGATATTAGTAATAAGTTAGGGTTGTCGATTCTATTGTTGTTTCTACAGCCTGCATGATTCTGTCTCATGCCCCACTGGTCTTAGCGATAGATGGGATCTAATATGTTCATTAGATTTATCTCTATTAAATGGTTAAATGATGATGAGTTGTTCCCAATTTTTTTATATAAAAGAGATTCGGTTACTTGTAGTCATTGGCTTAGCATAAACCGATAAGTGTTGACATCATATTGCCATTGACTAATATTTGTCTAAATAACGATATTCATTCTGAATGATAACCGATTTCTTGCATGATTCCATGAGCTTTAACTGATTTATTCTTATGAGTATGCTGGAATCGACTATTTAGTCGATCTCCTTCCACATCGGCTCTCAGAGCCGCATATTCGGAACTGTCTGGTAATACCGGCATGTTCCGCCTTAAATTACTGATTAATTTTCCTTCCTTGTCAATTGCAGGGTCAAATTGACTGGCACATTTTGGGGGGAGTACGTAGGATTCGATCATCCCTGCATTGAAGCCAGGCGGATTTCTAGCCCCATTGAGCAGACCCTTCTGGCTTGCTCGTGTGCGCGGCACGAGACACATTTTTCGTGCCGACACATATGCAAAACACTCAGTGCCCCAAGCAGAAGCCTGGGAGTGTACATTGTGGATATTATATATGTTCTATGATAAGTAACACCGGTGCCTACAGGAGACACCCCTTAAGGGTAAGTTTGAACCTCTTCACCCATAGTATAAAAACTTCGCACATGATATGAAATACTAAACCAAAACTTGTTCTCTTGTTGTGGAAAGAAGACAAAGAAATTAAAAGAGACCCATACAAGGATGACTAACTCTTTGAGCTCGTCGGCGACCTTTCCAACTTCATATTGGACCAGATTGTACACGTCAAAGGCACCTAGCATGATCAAGATTCTGACTTAGGTAGAAATCCTCAGTACCAACACCTTCGTGAGACTAAAAGGCTAGCTCTAGGCCATTGATAACAATATGTATGGAATTTGACATTGGTCTAACCTTGTGGGAGCTCCACCGCACACCTTGCCACGGTGCTGACTCCGCCGCACCTCTAGGTCACTGCCGTCGACCCGCGCCGCCGCCGTCCGCCGTGACACCTACGCCATATCCACCAAGGTGCCACCCTTGGCCCATCGGTGAACTCGCCGTGAGCACACGAAGCCGTAGAGCCTCCTAGCAGCCCTACCTATCCACCCTAGCGCGAGAACACGTGAGCTTGCCGCCGATGAGGAGCGTCGCCGCGAGACAGAGAGGAGAGAGAGCTATTGCGCCACTGTCGCCCCGTTCACCTAGTGCACCGTGTGCCAGAGAGAGGGGAGAGAGAAGTGGAACGAATTAGACTTGTGAATTATGTCTATTTAATGATGGATTGTATATATTCTTGTGAATTGAACTTGTAATGGTAGCTTATATAATACTCTTGTGCTTCTCGTCAGATTTGAATTATATATGTTCTGATTCGAATTATATATATATATATATATATATATATATATGTTCTGGTCAAATTTGAATTGTAAATTTAAATTTTTTTGGTGGAAAAATAAACTGTAGGGGCGGTTCTAGATTGAATCGCCTCTACAAACAGGTATTATTGGGACGACTGGGACTACAGCCGCCCCTACAAATCGATTTGTATGGGCCGCTGATAACACCAGCCGCCTCTTCAAATCGATTTGTAGGGACGATCTGAGAATCGCCCCTACAAATCAGCGATTTGTAGCCACGGTTTAGCAGGAGCGGCTGGCCAAACCACCCATAAAATACTCATTAGCCGCGGCTACAAATCATATCTCACGTAGTGCCGGGAGGTGGGAGCCGATCTTGACTCTGGCGCCAACAAGGCATGCACATGGCTCGCGTACGGGTTTCCTTCGTCAAACTAGGCGTGCACAAGATACAGGGTTCTGTACGTGAACTCCCCCTGCACATGCTAGCTTGCATCTTTTCTTCGTACGTGTACACGTACAAAATTTCTTTTTTCCCCCCTTTGCTAGCACAAATGATCTAAGGCTAATAAACCAACTAGCTTATAATCCTTCTATATTAGCACTGAGGGTCAGTGGCACTAGAGGAACGATGAGCTTTTGCATGGCGTTTAGACTTGAGGACATTTTAGACTTTTCTCACAAAAGTGGACAGAATGGCTTTGGCGACAAAAAAAAAATTTAGGTGAGTAGCACCTGGGTGTGCTCAAACTTTTTAGTAGCTTATAGGTAACGACCATCTTTTTTAATTAATGGTATACAGGTAAAACCCTCTTTTCTAATAGAGTTAATATAGAGAGAGAGTTACCTAGCTTCATATACAAATTAAAGGAGAGACATGCCATGTACTGGAATTTCAACGATGCCGTAGTCCTACCTTTAAAACGGACATGTATAACTTCTTCTAGTGATCCCTTCACAATGTGATAGAGCGATCATTCGGTGTTTCGAAGATGAAATGGGTGATATTATGGAACCTCCCAAGTTATCCTATTAATAAGCAAAGAAAAATAACCATTGCATGCATTGATCTCCATATAATTTCATTGAAGATAGTGCATTAAGAGATAGAGATTTGATAATTGTCATCAATATGAAAATTACATGACCGAGGCATCTTCATCCCAGGAGATGTTGGCAATGAAGTAGGATATGAAACTCCTGACATGGATTTGTTTCGTGATAGTATTGCTAATGCTTTTTTGCTATGACGAAGTAGTTTTGATGTATTATTTGTAAGGGCAAAATTATGATTATAACACAATGTATCTTATCAGGCCAGTTTTTTTTTATGAAGAAATAAGGACATAATAAGTAGGGCAAATAATGATCTAAAATGGATAAAAGTAATAACTAGATATACAAAGATGTGGGTACTATGAACAACGCGCAACTAGAGACAACTATCCAGCCCTCCGACAATTCAGGACGCTAAACAACCCTAGATATTTACAATCTCAGCTATTGCAATCCTGATTTTATTTAGAATATATAATCGGCAAGCTGCTTTTCACGGTCCAAGGTGAAAACAAACAGGGCTAATTGTTTAGGTCAAATCTTTCCTGACTCTACATTTTTCATTTTTCATTTTTTAAATGTAATCTAGCAGGACCTGCTGTTTATTAAAAAGAATAGGGGAAGTAACAAGGCCTAGGCCAAAGGAGAATAACCAACAAACTGCACTACATAACTACAAGGAGGAGGAGAAAACACATATCAAACATTACATTTGCTCCGACAGTGCACTAGGTGCAGGCCGTAAAGCAAGCACTTAGATAAATACAAAGTCATAATAAGTTGACTTGTGAATAAATATTAAAGTTGCTTCACTGGGGAAAAAATATCTTGATTATATAGAAGCCCCCGAATTTCCTTCAGCTACTTGATAGATCTTTAATTAGCGTCATTTCACTTCAATTGCGCAGATACCTGTTGGCCTGCAGTCAAAAAACACCATACTCAACAAATCAACGATAAAGAGGCGAACGACAAACAAACAACCAAGGATCCATTCAAATATGCTTCTGTACGTTTGTGCACTATCTTTCCTTACAAACACCCAACCTCTGATATAATTTCAGATAACACAAATTATAATTAAATATTTAAATTAAGGAGTAGATTACCTGTCTGAACCGCCGCCTCTGGAGGCAGAGGCAGCAGTCTCAGGCATCCTAATTTCTCCAACACAACGGCCTGCCTTAATTTCTTCCAGAATCTGAAAGAGGGGAGAAAAGAACAGTATCAAAGCACAGTATGACATCTACCTTCAGTTCTTCACTCTTTTTGATCAAGTACTATACTATTGTTACCAACAAAACCACGATACCTTGGGCCACTTTCTGTAAAAGAACCAAACCCAACCGAGCACCATTGAGCAGAGGCCTATGATTCCGATGAGCCATAAAACCAAGTCGGAGGCATTTGCAAAAGCCCGCAGTAAGATACAAAATAGTGCATAAAGGAATGCCAGCACTAAAAGCATCAGCCATTTAAGGATTCCAGGCTCACAGCCGTCAATGGACCCCCTCTCTTTCAAGTATGAAGCATGGATTAACAGAATGAAATTGCTTAGTGATGCTATGAAGATTCCTATGAATATGGCCATCCAAATTCCTTCGACACTCCCTTGTGGCTTTTGGTAGAGCGAGTATGCATACGAGAGAAAGATACCACCATTGATTCCAAACAGCTTTTCCACCATAGTGTAGTAAGAACACAGTAAACCCTGTGGTAAGATGAACAAGACTTAACTAATTGGAGATAAAGTCAGCATAAATGAATTCTAAAACGATCTGCATGAACATTACTGTTGCAAAGATATATCTAAATAACCCAGATATGAGTAACCGGCTGTACTCCTTTGAGTAGGCCCACTAACAAGTCCATGACTAATGGATCCCACGGATCTTACGTTCACTGGCCTGGTCCTAGGTTCCCGAGCTATAAGAAAGGGGCCATGGTACCTAATCAATTAGCGTTAATATCGTGATTAGCCACCCTAATAGCCTATCAGTCAAGATAAGCTCGGTGATCCCCTGAAGACTAGGAGCCAGCCACCGGACACCCTTGTGCCGGTGTCCTCGCCACCGACAGCCATTGCAGGGGAGTTTGATGCCATGCCTGACGTTCGAGCAGGCACGTGGAAGAGATACCTAAGAGTTTGATGCCATGCCTGACGTCCAATCTGAAGGTATGTACTAAGAACAGTGAAGTCTCAAATGTCTAAGATACCTAGGTGTTCTACTGAAGAGTTAAGGGATTAAGATCATGTGTTTAAGGCTCATAAGTTCTAACAATTGGTATCAGTGTTGCCACCCCATCCCTCTTAGGACCCTAGATTAAGCATCGATTCGTTCAATCTATTAAAGTTCTAAGCGATTAAGAGCTCTAGGGTTTCATTTTTAGCACATAAAAGAATGGGAAATGTGCGTAGGAAAGACTAAGATAACCTATAGTTAAAGTAACCTCATGAAGTGGACTTTATATTGACTTCAAAATATGATATGGTTGTTTGGTTCTCAATTTGAGGGGGATAGATGTAGAGTTTTACAATAATCCATTTCATTAAGTGTATTAAGTTTCATGTGTTGGAATGACAAATTTAAGTTCAATAAGTTAATGGTAAGTAATCTCTTTTGGCATCCATTCATTCTATAGATAATAAGAAATTCCTAATGGAGTCAAAACAATGGACTATTATGGGTCCACATAACCTAAAGAGACTCTAAAGGGAAATGATAAAAGCTCTCCATAATGAAATAACAAGTTCATTCGAGGCTCTTGTCTGCCATTGATTTCATAATCACAATAAGATAAGATAAGCAGAGGTATAAAGTTAATTATTTTATTGACTATAAATAAAGCAATAGAGATATTACATAAGTTTATCTTGATGATGTTGTAACACTCTCGGTGTTACACCCTAAACAAACCACTAAACCATGTCATGAGCATCATGTTTATGTGATAAAGCATGTGACAAAGTGTGTAGATCAATTTCTTGTAACCTAAAATGACTAATAAAAATGTTAAATGAAAGTTGATTCAATAGCTCATGTATATCAAGTAGGGTTGAAAACCAATTTTTATTAAGCAAAAGTATTATAGAACATGTGTGTGACAACTAAATAAGGTTTGAAGTATAAACTTTGTAGATGACAATGCAACTCTTGCTGTAGAAAAAGAGCATTGCTAGCTAGTATTTCTATTGGCCTAAAAATGGAACCTGAAACTGAATCCGGCTCAAGACTTGGAAGATTTTCAAGTTTGAAAACAGGGTGACGACGCTATATTGGTGAATTAATTCCGTGCAATTTAGCTAGGCAGTGGTGTCCTGTTTTAGCTCATGTTGGTAGTCTGATATGCCCGCTTTATCATAGTGAAGGTGGTTTGGTCTCAACTTCCATAGTCCGGTTGTTATTGATGCTTTAAAATTCATGCACATCACCTGCTCGGTCTGTGTGCGTGGTCACCATGCTCCTGTGCTCGTCGTGGTCATCCCGGCTGGGCCACGCGCATGGGGCTGCATTGCTGGGCCAGGGTCAACCTCGACCGGACATGGCTTGGCTGTGGCCTAGCCGCCATTGGCCGCTGCCGCACGGAGCCGCTGCTGCTGCTCGCCTAGCCATGCGATGCTGCTGGCTACCCCACTGCTCCTGCCGCACTGCTGCCCCTGCCACGTGGCACAGCTACTGCCGGTGCCATCACCTCGCCATCACGTCCGCACCTCCGCGCCATTGCTGGCCCGGTCCGATGCCTGCCACTGCTACGAGCACATGGTAGGGCTCGCCATCGTCTTGCCATTTATTGCACTACGGCCGTGCGGGCCGTGCCCGGTCGTGGACACACGTGCTTGGTCCGCAGTGTCTGCGCGCGTGTCTCCCCGATCGCGTTGGCCGCGTCCCGCCAAGATGAGGTCAAGCTGAGCCCAACCTACCTCTCTCTCTCTGCTTCCATGGCCGGCTGGGCCGCGCCATTAAATCTGTCAGGGAGAGATCATCTCAAGGCGATTCGTCACGTCGCTGGCTTTGCCATCAAGTCGCCTAGCCACCCGACCCCACCCCCGCCTTGGCCGAGCCCAGCCAAGCATCAATTTTGGTGTTTCCTTGCCACCGGGCCGATAAGGTCGTGTGCGTCAAAAGCCGATGGCAGTTCCCCATCGAACCCTCCGTAGCCAATTCGTCTACACCACTATCCTCGCCTTGACTCCCACTCCACCCTGTGTGCACCAGCGGAACCGCTACCGCCTCCCCAGCGCCGCTGACACAGCCGTGTCCGCCGTGGATCGTCGCTGAGATCGCCACGCGCACATGGCCAGCCCATCCCCGGCCTCCTCCGCTACAACCACCACACCGGTCGAGTCCGCGGTAAGTCCCTAGTACTCGCTCGCTAGCCGGGTAGGTCCTTAGGTGCCCTGGTTCGCTAGAACAGTCGCGCCATTGTCACGAATGGCCGCGTGTTGCCGCATCATGCTCCAACGAGTCTCGCCGCCCCACGTTGCCGCTTAGCGTAGGTGTTTAGGCCATAGTTGGAGGTCGGCCCGACCGATGGGCCTGTGTGAGCCTCTGGTGGCCGGCGTAGCCACCCAATGCCAATGCTCGTCGCGCCGCCATGCACAGGTTAGCCGAGGTGTGTGGGGAAATTAGAGGAAGGCCAGGGGGTTAAGTGAAGAGGTCAGAGAGAGAAAGAATTAGTAAACGGATGGCGACATAGTTTCGAAAAAGATCAGGGTCTCTTTTGCAAAAGAGCCGTGCCCGCGCGGGTTTCCCTCTTGGGCTGCGTTGATGGACCGGCCAACGCGCGCGGTCCACGCGTTTGTGGGCCGCGAGGTCGGTTTCATTTTTTCATTTTCTTAGAAATAGGTAATAACTTTCTATTTTAATTTCTGTGCTAGATTTGTATAATTAATATAAATTTGTATAGGTGTCCAAAAATTGTGAAACTAATTTTGTTAGGTTTCTAAAATCATTGTCTACCTGATAGTGTAGTTCATTCATACATATATGTGTTGATACTAAAGGCTATTAAATTATTTGAAAGTGCTTAATATTATTAAGGTAATTATTGAAGGATTTTTATGGTAAATTGGTGATAGCTTCAACCCTAAAATTTTTACAGGAGCTTCATTATATTATTATGTGCTCGCTGTAATTTTTATAGCCTTAGACTGGACTAAACGTTAGGGTAGTTAAATGTTCCATGTTTAAATATGCATTAAATCTTTAATAGAAATAAAGGCATACCATTGAATTACGAAACTAGGTGCTTGTTAGTTGAACTCAATATCTTGCTTGATGAAGATGATAGTTAGCTTAGTATCTTAGTCATTAGAGCTAGCTTAGTAGCTTAACATGTGTATTATTATTTTAAGAGTTGTTGTTGCCTAAATACTGAATTGTTGCATCATCATCATCGCATGTATATAGAGAACGAGTTGGCGGAGATCATGACCACCGGCGAGCCTGAGTTCGAGGAGATCATCGAGGAGTACGAGGAGGAGATTCTCGTGTAGGAGGAGGTCCCAGAGCTGCCACTGACTGACTCAGCTGACACCGCGCCTGCCCAAGGCAAGTCCCGGTGCATAACCCTTATTTTTGATAATCATCGTAAGTATATGTGATGTGCATTTATGTTATAGGAATTCTATAGAAACCACATGAATTATTATATATATCCATTCTAAGAGTCCTACTAGTGCATGTTCGAGTAGCTGATATGCTTAGGTTGTCGGTAGCGCGAGTAACCTGCCGCTGGTTATGATAGGTGATTATTATTACTTTCATAATAAAAATGATGAAAAGAAAATAGAGACCAGGCAGGGATATGGCATGGGTTATTGGTGGGTGTAACAAGTTGTGTCCCGTGGCCATGGGGCTTAGCTTGATTACACTGTTTTCCTTGTCCATGTCTATTGAGTACCGTCCGTTGCTGTGGATGGTAGTCAGGTCACAGACTTATTATCCTGAACATATACTTGCTTATGAGAGCGGGAAGGCTTGTTGCGCTCTTGTAGTGGGTTCTGGCTCTTTTCGGACCGAGTGATTGGAGGCGGGGAAAGGTGGAGGTCTAAGCACCATGCTGAGACCGGGTCTCAAGTGTGGGGCTTGGAGTCGAAGTTTAGACGAGGACCTGGACCCCTTGACATGCGTGGAGTGGGTTGGTCTCGTTTGTGCCTGTGGTACAAGTGAGGCGTGTGTTTCGGGGTACCCAACTGTGATACATTGGTTCGCGAATCACCGTTTTCATGAGACGGTACGACTTGGCTATGGTCTAGCACCGTAGTAAAAACTAGAAGATAAAAGATGGTGAAATGGTTCTGATTGCTCAACCCTGTCTGGAAAATAGAACATGTGCTTACCTAAAATGGTTAGCTCATTAAGTAATCCTGACTGTAATAAAAATTGACCCTAAAGACGTACTTTTAGTAATGCTTTTTCGCAAACAAAAGAAAACAGCCGACCATATTGCCTATCATGTTCCTTGTGAGTCGAGAAACTAATCCCTCTAGTCGGGTAAGTCTTGAGAGTATATTGTGTACTCAGAATTTATTTTACCCTATTGCAGGTGCGACTTGAGGAGTTAGCTCTTGTATGGAGGATTCTTCTGGTGAGCACAGATGGATCCGTGTATCGTTTTCGTTAGATGATTATTACATTTCTGTTGTTTAATTATCGCACTCTGAACTCTGGGATTGTAATAAAT